AGGCGCCTTGGATAGTTTCAGTACAACCCCGTCCATAAGTATCCGTCAGGATCATTAATATATTCTGACGAAACTAAAAATAATTATTTTCTTTGTGATTATAAAAATTAATATAATATTTTATATAATAGTTGATGCATTAATTGATACAACGTTACATATAATTATTGATACAATGTTTCATATAATGATTGATACAATAATAATTAATAGAATATTTCATTTAATGGTTGATGCAATAATTGAGCCAATGGTGGACACGATGTTCCACGTAGTGGTTCATGTAATAAGTGATATAATAACTGATGCAATAAATGACATAATAACTTATGCAATTTTTCATCTTCGACAAATCTCTCGTATTGTGTTAAGCTCATTTTCCAGTACCTATGACTGGTAGTATAAGCAAACAATGAATACCTATGACTGGTAGTATAAGTAGAATGAGCTTCAGGGAGTACAAAATTCATATATCGTGTTTTATTTAAAATAATATTTACTGCTTCCGTTAAAGAGCTAAATAAAATTTTAGTAAACAAGTCCTTAGATTGTTTCTAAATACTATAATTTTATTAAATGAGATATGAGAATGTATTAATTTGTACAGAATATGTTTTAATAAAATGAGTTGTATCATATTGACCAATCTCGTTGATTTATTTTTGGAAAATTTTGCAATTGTGAATACTTATAGGCGGGGATGTATGTATAATCTATCTGGACATTGACCGTTGTTAATTTCCACGGATGATTTAAATCATTGGTACTGCCCATCCATCCGTGGATCATCTTATCTCCTGTGGCTGTGTGCTCGTACTTCTCAAACATCTACGCATGACATAATAGTGTTTAGCAACTATGTACTGATTTTTGCTAAACTCTAGTCTGACCGATTAAGTAATTGCACTGCTAGACAGTATCTCTCGGAATGGAATCAATCTTTGGACTAAATAGCTTAGATAAATTTATTTTTAGAGATCCGCCAGCTTAATTGGTTGCGACACGTGTTACGTGTGTGCGTACATTAATGATAATGATAACAATCAAGGCCATGCAAATTTCGAATTATATAAGAAATCGACTTTTCATTAAGGATGTATTAGCTATACAGTCAATCCCAAAAGTTTATGTACCTTAGAAAAACGCATTTCCTATAATTAAAAAGAAATCAGACGTCGGAAGAACAATGCTAATAATAAATAGCTACGTGCTAATAAGTATAGAAGG